TTTAATAGCTAAATTAATTATGATGAAAGATATTTACATGGGGTAATCAGTGTATTTTCACTGAAGTAGCTTCATTACACTTCCATGGAAAGATTTTCCACTCACTTCTGGCCACAGGAAAAGAAAACAAAAAATCTTCATAAAACTTTAGTCTTTCATCCAATGTCCATTATGAATGATGAAGGTTGTGGGGGAAAAAAAAAAAGATAAAAAACTCCTCCCTGAGCTTACACCAGATGTCTATCACAGCCACTTTTGACCATTTTTCCTTTTATGTTGGACAGGGACAAACTTTCTTATGCGTGACTCTCCAAAGAATGCATGGTATAACTCAGAGGAGGGTTCAGCTCAATTTATTTTTAGAAAATTGAAAGCAAATAATAAACACAAACCTTTAAACTAAGAGAGACAATGATACTATAAACCCTGCTGACCTGTTAATATATGTCTGTTTATTGTAGCACAATCTGTGACCTTCAGTGCACTGCCAGTGTCTGTAAATAATACAATGGGCTGCTTTTTTATCCCATGGGGATGTGAGTGCTGATGGAGCCTTTCAAAACTCAAATGGATGCCATAAGATGACGTACACCGTGCCATTGTGATTCTTATTTATGAGTCTTTCTCTCTCTCTTTTTTTCTTTTCAAGTACAAGTTCCAAAGTCGCAAAGTGGATGGCAGAAAAAACACCCTGTCTGCCTGGTTTGAGGTTGGATTAGATAGCTTATCTAGCATTCGTAAAAGTACTCCTGAAATGTATGTTCCCTGCCTCTTAGATCTCTTGAAAGCAGGGTAACAGCTCATTCAATACATTTATTCTTTAAAAAAAAATCTGTATTTTTTCACTAGCTTCTTAGCCCCATAAAGCTGTTGACCACCTACAGAACCTTCACAGAACTTCTAATTGTTCAGCTGAGATCCTCCATATACGGATGGTACTATTCTCACCTCTTGGTTAGAGCAGCAGAACTGTGACATATCTATGGATGCTGAGGTAAAAAACCGCTTGCCTTTAAAATTTCTCACAAGGTCTCAAGTTTCTCCACCAGCCCACCTGCTATAGCAGTGGGTGAAAACGAACCCAGAAAGAAACAGTCACAGGC